ACCCTACCTTCCCCAGTGACAGGTTCTTCTGTTTTGACACTCTTTTTTGCGACGATGACATCCTTCATGAAAAGCTGAAATTGACGCAAATCTTTGAGAAAATGAGCACTTAGAGTATCCTTACTGTTGCTTATGTTATGAAGTACTTCCATTTTATCTGTGGGAAGAGGCAAAGCAAAGGCGTCAAACCCAGAAAAAAACTTAAGAATGCTATGGGTGGCTTCCTTGCTCTTCTCGCTTGTAGCCACTTCTTGAAAAACCTGTTAAGACAGAAAGGTACAGCAGTGAGGTCGACACTCCTTCCGGAAAAAAATTTTATGATATGCACCAACCTGATTTATAAGAAACATTTATAAGAAACATTTATCTGCGATTGCGTCTCATCACAGCCAGAATCATACGGAAAAAGAGGAGGCCAGTAAAATAGCAGATGTTGGACATTTTTTGCTGATGCTGGACTCGTGACCAGCAAAATAGGAAACCCTGAGTTCCCCACGAGTCTCAAAGGTTAGACGTTCTAATTCTGCGGTCTAATACTTTACCCCCTTAGAGCTTCTCCGTTAATTTACTCGCTCATTGGTTGGCTGAATCCAGGAATAGATATGGGAAAAGGGAGTGGGCTGTAGATTGGCCATAGTGAAGTTAAATTCAAGGTTGTTACAATCGATGTTGTAGATTTGCCTCGTGTCATACCTTTTTCATTCGCTCTCGTCTCAAGTTACTAAATAGATCAGGCGCTTCTGGTATCTGTCGCACCTAAGCCACCGTGGGCTGGAACCTAGACACACTGTTGCGGTTGCTCATTAATTCTGGAATCTTTTATTTTTTTTACTGGAGATAGTTGTGACCTATTCTAACCTTTGTTAAAAAGTAGTCCTTTACGTTGCTGCAATCACTTGGTAATGATAGGGTCACATCTCTGAGCAGCCAAACAAAGTAAGGAAAGGTTTCGTGGAAAATATCTGAATCTTCAGGTCCAACATCACACTCAGACCTTGATCTAACTTGTATTCGCTGAGACAAATTAACAATAAACCTGTAGTTTGTCAAGGAAACTGGTAATATTTTTAGAATTTTGAACAGTTCTCTTTTGACAGGTCTGTAGGTAATCGATTAATTTGACAGAAAGGAATTACATAGAGAACTAACGAAGTGAAATGGATTATTGAAAAAACTACAGTTACAGCCAAATGACGTTTTTACTTCAATTGTCGCTATATGTAATCTAACATAATAGACTAAAAAAGACAGGAATTAGATTTTAGGTAAAATGTTATTCTGAAATATTTGATATGTCACAATCCGACGATACAACAGAAAGCTGGAGAACCTCATCTCTGCTCAAATTTTGGTGTAAGTTTAAGAAATTAGGCTCAGCTTAAGCTTGCGTTTTGTCCTCGTGGAACTTTTCCGCGTCAAAAACTTTGGCTGTACATTTACTGAACAGTACGTTACTAGATAAATACTTGGAAATTGATTTAATTTGTCGGAAAACGTAATAAATGCAAAAGCAAGATATACTTTGCAAAATGCTATAGGATCGGAATAGACCACAGTGCCTTCAGCAATACATTGTGTTGGGTGGTTCAAAAGATACTCTAGTTCCTCCAGATCTCGTCTATTGGCTACAGCTGAAGAATTGTAGATGAGTACCGAAGAAACCAATACGGTGAGTGTAAAGATTTGATGATCATCAAAACCAGTTCCCTGAGCGGATTCAGTTCCCTCAGTGTCTAGAAGTACAACTGAAACTTCTTGGCCATTGCAGTCCTGTCATAGGAAAGTGGACAAAATTATAAATTATAAATAAAATCTATTGGAATAAAAGCTAATTCTTTTCGAGAGTATCGTATATCATTGCTTTTTACATAAAGCGAAAACTCCTTTTTCCATTTATTATGATCATCGTAATTATTATTATTATGTATCATGAATGATATCATCAGTGTATCATTATTTCATACGGTTGGAAAATAGGCAATGTAACAATAATTTTTACCAGGAAATATTTTGATGTTCCTAAATTCAAATTGTACAACGACCATCTGCAGCTGAAAATTTGTTTAATTTCTAAGCATTATAATATCATTGTAATACATAATTGATACTTTTATCATTACTGCCATCTTTATGGTATTATTATTGTAAAAGTATTTATTTTTTGTCTTATTCTGTTCCATTTGTTCCTTTGTTTCCGGTTTTATTCTAAATGCGTGAAAAAACTTCATGCATTTTTATCTGTCTTCCTTGCATATGCACTTGTTATGAAATTGAAATTGGATATCTGTGTAATTGACAGCTGTTGTAAAGACACAGTCCAATCTTAGAACGTTGTCTTGTACTGCTTGACAGTTACCTTTAATTTTTCTGGCAAAATCCACATCCAGATTCCCACTGTCTCAGCCAACATAGTGTGCCCAAGTGGGAAAACGTCTGGCTGATGAAAAGCCTCGCTCAGAATGTAGGATTTTCCCTTGCGATATGGTCCAGTAATAGACACCACGCAGACAGGACCTACAGGATAGCTAAAAGCTAAACATAAATCGTCTTGCACCGTATTGACGAGAGTCAGAATAGAGACACCGTTGAGCTACCTATGCTGAACTGAAGGAGATTATAACGTAACAATTCCCATCACGTAATCCTGTGACAGTTCTATGATACGAAACTACTATGCTAACTAGATCAAGTCACTCTATTCAGAGGTTCACTCGTAGTATTTTACCTTTGATCCTCCTAAGCTTTTTGAGTGCCTCCTCTACCACATACATGTAGGAGCGTTCTTCTCCAGTTTTGGTGCATTTCATTGTTTCCGGGTCCCATTGATAATTGCCAGGAAGACAAAGTGGAATTGCCCTTTCTCCTTGAACTCTTGAGGTCATATTGCTAACAAAATAGTAAAAATAAATTGAAATATGCCACATTATTGAACTTAGGCAGTAAATGGTTCGATCAAGTGCTTCTCCTTTATTCTTAGTACATGAGTACGTGTAACTCTTGCTCATGTTGTGCACATATTTCCCTTTATTGCCACGTTTGATGGGCTGGGCTTTTGTTTATTTTACTTATTTTTAGATATTGTTTGATGATATTTGGTGGAATATTGAAAGTGATAAATGACAAAGAAGCCTCGAGGCGTTTTGCCGGGAGGGTTACTTTTTCATTAATTTATGTCCCACGCTTTACCACAGTGGTCAAAGGTTCATTGTAATCGTTGCGAGAATAGATGACTTAAAATGATCTTTTTGTGTTTCATTATCTCCCTGACTAGTCCATACTAAAAACATTTCGCAGCGCGCCGAATATGAGAAGGCGATAACCAAAGAGGCTCATTTCGCTGAGTTGGCTATAGCAACTCATATTCGGAAAACCTGAGTTATTCGAAAAATTGTTTTATTAAAAACGCACGCAAAATTCAACTTTACCTATTAGCTCTTATTCGACAAATATCAGTTAATGAGTCACAAACTCGGCGTATTTTTAAATGTTCTTCAATGGAAAAGTCGACATTATGAAATTTTAAAAAGCTTTTTACGCTCTGAAGTAGCCAAAACTGAAAATGTTCCGCATAAATGGGCCGAATTTAATAGGGAAATAGTGATTTTCAGCTCCATGAAGTGCAATATTTGGGAATCTGCAGGGCAATGTCCTATGCTCAGTTCGCCGTAAATGACAACCTTCGATATGAAACCTTTTATTACGTGTGCATGTTACAGCTAATCTAATCAACGTCGAAGGAAGAGTGGCTCTTGAGCTAAGCTGTCCGATTGTTAATGTTATTTCGTGCCCTTTGGCTGAC